GTTGTACAGATCTCCAGAATTTATTCATCTTGCATAACTAAAATTTTATCCCCTTTGACTGACACCTCCCCCATGACATGTGATTTTTTTTTTAAAGGGATTAAAACATAGTCTTTGTCTTCAAGTAGCTCAGAGTCTGGGAGGGAAAATGCTACTGCAAAAGGACTAAGGCTGAGCTGAAGGAGAAGGAAGTGGGTTTCTGGGCATTAAACAAAACAGAGTAAACTAGTTAAAAGAGTGTTTAAGAGGAATCCTTTATAACAAGAGGAATGTGGTTCAGCTGGGTCAGTGCAACATGAGCTTCTGTAATGTTCCCTTCAGGTGGTGGACTCTGTGAGCTGAAGCAGGTACAGAGCCAGGGCCTGGCACCCAGCGAGGGCCTTGGGTGGGCTCGAGGCAACATACTCCCAACCCAGGCATCTGTCTTCCAGATTCTGATGAGAGGAAGCAGAGGGCGGAGATGGAAATGCAAAGGAACGTGGAGAGAGTGTGGTCTTCGTAAGACAGCCAGACCTGGGTTCTAGTCCCAGCTCTGTCATGGCCTCTGCTGGGAAACTTCCAGCTTGTGGCTTTCATTTTCCTCATTTATGAAATGGGGGAGAACATCATCTCCTTTCTAGGGCTGTTGCGACTTAATAATGATCAAATACATAGAGCAGCTCCTAGTACACTGCTTCTTAGCAGGTGCTCAGGAATCTCAATTAAATCTAAATCGTTTAAATCCATCATCACTAAAAGAAGAAAATAGAAAAATTAAGCAGCTCAACAATTTCAATTGCTAGTGAGAATGTGGACAAGGAGCCCACTCAGCAGTGCTGGTGAAAGTGTAAATGGTACAACCCCTTCAGAGAACCGCCTAGCATTCAGTGAGGTGGAAGATGCACATGCCCATGACCTGCCTATGACCCAGAAAGTCCTCTATTAAGTATACACTAAACTCATGCACACATGCCTAGGTATGTCAGAACAATGTTCGCAGTCGCACTAGACTGGAAACAACCCAGGTAGCCATCAACATTAGAACAGATAAACTGACTATAGATTATAGCTAGATGGAGAGCTCTTCATGCAATGGACGCTATGGCAATGAAAATGAAGGTCAGCAGCACACAGCAACATAGGTGAACCTCACAAACATAGTATCAAGAGAGAGCAGCAAGATCCAAAAGAACACATGGAAAAGACCACATATGGGGCACCTGGGTGGCTCAGCCGTAGAGCAAACGACGCTTGATCTCAGGGTTGTGAGTTCGAGCCCCACAGATGGGCGTGGAGCCTACTTAAAAAAAAAAAAAAAGATCACATAAGAGGTGTGATCCTATTCATATGAAGATCAAAAACAGGCAAAACTAAAGGATTATGTTTAGGGATGCAGACATAGGTGGAAAGCTATAAAGAAAAGCAAAGAAATTACGACAAAAATTAGAAGTGATTACTTCTAGGGAGAGAGAGGAGGGCTTTGATGGGGAAGAGCATCCCAGGGATTTGTAGGGTGCTGGTAATGTTCTATTTCTTGACCTGTGTGTTAGCTATATGATGTTCTCTTAACAAGCATTCATTAAACTGTACTGTCACATAAACTAAACTCTTCTGTTATTTTCTGTAGGCATGTTATATTTCTCAATAAAAAAGTGGAAAAAGAAGAAAGTATATGTTGAAAGAGGAGATAGGCAGATCAACCTTATAGATACAGGACAAGTACAAAATACAGATGTATCTAAAATATTTTAAGTGCCTTTGTTTCATACTGGATAAATTGAAAGATTCGAGGTTAATAAACTTTTTTTAATATCTGAGAGAATGAAAGCATTAGGCAGGTCCACATGAAGGACTTCTAGAAGGGATTTTCCAAGCATTCTCATCTTCTGAGTATTTCTTGAATCCAGAAGTTGAGCAACAATGACGTAAGAATTCTGACTGGCCTGATTTCAGTATTAATAGACTACAACTGTGGAAAAGGGGAGGGAACTAACTTAAACATACCCAGATAAACTAGTTCTTATACTTATTTTTTTAAAAAAGATTTTATTTATTTATTGACAGATAGAGACATAGCGAGAGAGGGAACACAAGCAGGGGGAGTGGGAGAGGGAGAAGCAGGCTCCCCTCCTAGCAAGGAGCCTGATGCAGGGGACTCGATCCCAGGACCCTAGGATCATGACATGAGCTGAAGGCAGCTGCTTAACTGACTGAGCCACCCAGGCATCCCTAGTTCTTATACTCTTGAGAAAGGAATGCAATTCTAATTGTTCACTTGGGGGTCAAATCATTTAAAAAGAACAACTTCTTGATAATATTGTGTTTTGGGGGGAAGGCCAAAATGACCATTTCCAGATTGGGCCTCATGGAGTTCCTCCACCTGTGGTTTCCCAAGACGGGCTCTGATTCTTGATTCAGCAGGTGAAGAAACTTGATTTCACCACTTCCTGAAGAGTTGTCAGGTCTGGGGGGCAGCTGAGAAGGGTTTCTGAGGCCACTGACCTTCCCTTGGCTGTTGGACTCTCCGCTCTGCCCGCTGTGCCCTGGAGGTGCAGACCACAGTTTCTCCCTTTTCTAGGCTCCCTGTGGGTCGCAGCCCTTCCAGTTGGTTGTCGTGACAACCAATGCACTCTCTAACAACATAGTTTCATAGCACAACAAGTGAAAAAAAAAAGGGAGGGATTGCCTCAACCCTCATCTTCTTATTGGTGGGCAAAATTCCTACAAACTCCACAGGGAGTTTCACTCTCCATAGTGAATAGGAAAGCCTGACCCAAAGTGATCCGGTTTGGTTAGTTTCCTACACAGGACAGGTACCCTAGGGATTGTGGTTTTTTATGGAATAATTCACTTGGATTCATTATTTGTTTCCAAAATACAGATTTTATAAAAGTCATTTTAAGAGCAAAAAAAAAAAGGCCCTCACATTATACATTTGAGAACTGGAGTTGTAAAAGGGCTCTCAACGCTGTGCAAATGTTTGAGGTTCGGATGTTGTGCTTTCACATAGGGACTTGTGTTTGGAGGCCTGGACACTTCTTCCTCACATATGTCTCCTTAGCGATTCTGTCACCCATTTTGTTGGCATCAGCTGTCTCTCCAGAAATGAGCACGAGTAGCCCCGAAGAGGGCACAGATATGTGATATTAGAGGAGAAATATCCAGAGGGGCAAAGGAGTGAAGGTGAGACCTTTCCAACATGTGGAGAAGAGTGGATAGAACCACCAACCGGAATTTCCTCTCTGGTGAGAAGCCAGGTGCTCAGGCCAGTCACCCGGAATGTTTCTTGGAGTGGACTCAGAAAGCAGGTCCCAGTAACACCACTAGGACACCTGCTCAGACAGGCCGCCAAGAGGGGTCTACCAGCACCTGAACTGAGAGAAATGTTCCTCCAACAAAGGATAAGCTTTCTCCTAAGACATTTGAACCGTCACTAATGGATAACATTCAAACTGAAATACACCATCCTTACCAAGCAACTGTGGTAGCTTACTTGGTACTCTTCTATGCCGGGGTTTGCTGTAACATATGGGCAGGCCTCAGACATTGCTAGTTTGAGAATTTTAAGCTGACTACATCAGACCTGCAAAATCTGTCAAACTTTTATATGTTTCCCCTGTCATCTTCCTGTTCCACAGGTTTACTCCATTTCCAGCTGGGGATATAGGAGAGGCAATAATCAGATCTAATGTCTCTTGAACCCTGTTGGGGTTTTAGTATTAGAGTCCTCCTGGAAAACTTGACACACTAGTAGACATGCCAAATTGCACCAGGTAGATGTAATACAGTCTGAAGAGTAATGAATGGTTCCATATGGCCTTGATTTCTTTAAAGTACTGCATCAATATTTTATTTTTTATTTCTTTTAAAGATTTTATTTATTTATTTGAGAGAGAGAGCACTAGCAGGGGAGTGGGGCAGAGGGAGAGGGAGAAGCAGACTCTGTGCTGAGCAGGGAGCCCGACATGGGGCTCGAATCCAGGACTCCGAGATCATGGCCTGAGCGGAAGGCAGATGCTTAACTGACTGAGCCACCCAGGTGTCCCTTCATCAATATTTTAAAGTAATTTGTAATTAAGAGTCCAATTACTAGGCATTTAAAATATATTTTCTTTTTTCTTTTTTTTTTAAGATTTTATTTATTTATTTGACAGAGAAAGACACAGCGAGACAGGGAACACAAACGGGGAGTGGGAGAGGGAGAAGCAGACTCCCTGCTGAGCAGGGAGCCCGACGCGGGACTCGATCCCGGGACTCCAGGATCATGACCTGAGCCGAAGGCAGTCGCTTAACCAACTGAGCCACCCAGGCGCCCTAAAATAGATTTTCTAACAAGTGGACATAGACCCAGGCTTACTTCACTAGTATTCCCAAGATGAGAAATGGAATGGGTGGACCACTTACAAAGCCCAGTGCTGTCTGTTGTAGGCTGGCCGGCAGGCAGCACTGCATTAATTCTGCCTTCATGCCTTCCTTTCCTGTACAAGTGATTTGTTGGATCTTACAATAGGATTTTAAAAACTGTGCTCACAAACTCAGTTCTTGCTGCTGGCTTTCAAAAGAAGAGTTGAGTACTTCCTTCCTTCATCTGACAACCACAACCTATAAGGTATTCAGCCTGGCCCCTATATGTCTTCAAGGACCCAAAATCTAGTTGGGAAGAAAAAATTAAAAATAAATAAGAAGTACTTTGATTTCAAATTTGTTTAGCTTTTTTTTAGACGCTTGTTCTCTTTTATTTCTTGAAATATATTAAACACACTTATTATCTGTGTCTGCTTATTCGAATACCTCAAATCTTTGTGTATCTGATCTTATTTTTTGTTTCTATCTGCCTTTACTTATGGAGGCTTGCTTCCTTATTTGTTTTGTTTCTGATTGTAAACTTCCGTTCTTGAGGCTTTATCTAGGGACATTCTTTGGGGCCTAAGTTCAAGATAATCTTCTCTGGAGAGGATTTGTGTTTGTTTTGCCCGTTGTCTGGAGCACCCCAATCTTGGTCTCATTGAGTTTTAAAAATTCCATGGTATCTTGAATTTAGATCACAATCTTCCACGCAGGCCACACTATAGTTACGAACTCTCAAGGAAGAGTCATATCTCCTTTTTGTTTTTCTCCATCCAGCACCAGGATCAATACAGGCAGATTTTTCGGGGGTCCTCTTCTGTACAGCAAGTCAATTTCACATTCATCTTGACTTTGGTTCTTTTGGAATCCCAGTTTTATGAAAGAGGTTCTTTTTTAAAAAATATGTGTGTTTTATTTTAAATGAAATTATTTTCTCCCAACTCTATTGAGGTATAATTGACATGTAACATTGTGTAAGTTTAAGATGTACAGTGGGTGCTTGCTCTGGCAGCACACATACTAAAATTGGAAAGATAGTGTGCAAAGGTGACATGCAGGTTTGTGAAGCATTCCATATTTTTTTTTAAAAGGTGTATAGCATGATTATTTGATATGTGCATATATTGTACCATGATTATCACCATTAGGTTAGTTAACACATCCATCACCTCACATAGTTACCCTTCTGTGTGTGTGTGGTGAGAACATTTAAGATTTACTCTTTTAACAATTTTCAGGTATAAAATACAGTGTTGTTAACTATAGACACCATGCTCTGCATTAGATCCCCAGAACTTATTTATCTTGTAACTGAAAGTCTGTATCCTTTGACCAACAGCCCTCCATTTCCCTCACAAAAAGCCCCTGGCAACCACAAATCTACTCTCTGTTTTTGTGAATTTGGCTTTTTTAGATCCTACATATATGTGAGATAATACAGTCTTTCTCTGTCTGACTTACGTCACTTAGCATAGTGCCCTCAAGTTTCATCCATGTTGTCACAAATGGCAGGATTTCCTTCTTTTTATGGCTGAGTAATATTCCATTGCATATATGCCACATCTTTATTCATTTATCTTTCAGTGGACACTTAGGTTGTTTATATGCCTCGGGAAACAGGCCTTAGGTATTGTGAATTATGCTGCAATGAATATTGGGGGTGCACGTATCTTTTTGAGATAGTGATTTCATTTCCTTTGGATCTCTAGAAGTGAGATTGCTCGATCATATGGTTGTTCTATTTTTAATGTTTTGAGGAACCTCCTTACTGTTTTCCATAGTGATTGTGCCAATTTAAACTGGGATAGGTTCTTACTTTGCTTATGATCTTGGGTAGGCTTGAGGGTTTATCTTCTGTGTCTCCATCACAGCACGCCTGTCAATGTGGAAGTTCAAGGACACTGCAGTTTGACAGATTTTCTAGGAGCTTGCTCACTTAGCAGGGGTCCTACCTTAACTTTGTTTTTTCCTTCATTTCTTGCCAGCTCAATGATTCATTTAAAAAAAATAGTAAAAAATCTTATCCAACTTTGGTTTTCATCAAAAGGTTTGTTCTGAGAATCTATTCCACACATTAAATTGAAGTACTTTAAAAATAAGGTTAGTGGGTGCCTGGGTGACTCAATCGGTTAGGCATCTGACTGTTGATTTAGGCTCAGGTCATGATGTCAGGGTCCAGCCCTGTGTCAGGCTCCTCTCTCAGTGGGGAGTCTGCTTAAGATTCTCTCCCTCTCCCTCTGCCCCTCCTTTTGCTCCAGTGCTCTCTCTCCCTCCCTAAAATAAATAAATCTTGAAAAAAGAGAAAAGGTTAGACAATGTATAAGCAATTGCTTAGCAGGATTGAAGTAGTTTTTTTTTTTTTTTTTTTTAAAGATTTTATTTATTTATTTGACAGAGAGAGGCACAGCGAGAGAGGGAACACAAGCAGGGGGAGTGAGAGAGGGAGAAGCAGGCTTCCCGTAGAGCAGGGAGCCCGATGCGGGGCTCGATCCCAGGACCCTGAGATCATGACCTGAGCCGAAGGCAGACGCTTAACGACTGAGCCACCCAGGCGCCCCTGAAGTAGTTTTTCAAATGCTTCCATTCCCTTCACTTTCTATTCAGAACAAATCTTTGTCTTCAGAACACCGAGCAGTGGCTGAGTGGAGTGGGGGCAATGGTGCGCTAGCAAACTGACTCTCAGGAAAAAGAAAACACAACAAACCCCACAAAAGACTTGATTGTTAGCATTTGCCAATTTCTGTGGGGCAACAACTCCCACAACAGTCCATTTCAAGTAACCAATTTGATTCACTGAACAGAGAGCCGGGAAGGGATGAACACAGTTGTTTCTCATGAGCTGCAATGAGCCAGCCCCACTGAGTCCTGTAGAAGTAGAAGATAGAAGTTAGGGTGGCTAAGTCCAATGTCTAGCGGTCCATCAGGAAACATAAGTGAAGAGGACCTGATGATGAAGAGGTGAACTGGAGAGCACATACCAGCTCATTGTTGCCACATGTCACCAGATCTTATTTTTCAAGAAGAGTGAGAAATCTGACTTTCAAGTGAAATATCCTCCTTTTCAAATATTGCCAATTGATTCAAAAACTTTAAAAACACATAAGAGATCCAAGAAAACAACCTGATGGATGCAGATTTGTCTAAACACCAGCTTTGGCTTGGCTGAGTTAGTGCTTGAGGTTATGTTTGTGTATCTGGTTCCAGCTTTGTTTCTCTAGGCTAAATGGCCCACATAGGGAAATACTGTTGGAAAAGCATTGCAGGGTTTGGGAAAGAGCACATGTCACGGATTCATACAGCCTTTGGTTCAAATTCTGGGCCTGCCACTCATTGTGTGACCCAGGGCAAAATGCTGTGAAATGAGAGGGATGGTCCCTGCTGGGGTAGGTTGTTCTAGAGACAAACTGAGCTATTTTGGTATGGGACCTGCCCCCTTTGTGCATACTTAACGATTGTGTCATCATTCTTGAGCAGAAGTCAATAGTCATAGCGGAGGGCAAACACTGGAGTGTAAAGAAGAGAGACCTCTAATTCAGTGTTCTCAGTTTTCACTGCCTTAGATTCACTTGGTAAATATTAAAAAAAAAAAAAAAAAATTAACACCAGACCACACTCTTAAAGATTCTGATTCAGTTGGTGCAAGATGGAGACTGGGCATCACTATATTAAAAGCCAACCCCTCCCAGTATTCTAAGCCTAATGCTTTAGATTCATCTCCTTTAACATAATCTTTCCAACAACCCCAAAAAGTATTATTCTCATTTCATGAATGAGGAACTGAGGCCAACTGTTAAATAACAGCCCACGGTCACATAGCTGGTAAGTGAAGGGATCAGACTTGACCTCAGAGCCTGACTTCTTAAACCCCATGCCATTTAGCATCACTGTATCCACCTCGGAAGGCCTTTGGGAGGGCTTACGTACTGCAAATAAAGTGCTTAGTTCAGGGTCTGGAAGCAACAAACAAAGGTGAGCTATCATCATTACCTTATAACACCAAAACAGAGAATCCTTTCCATTTTCTCTTCTCTATGCAGTTCCCTTTCAGGTAAATCTTCCATCTTTTTTGGATCCCCTGCTTCTTCCCTGCTGTAAACACACATAGTTGTCCTCCACATGAATCCTAGGACAGTCACTGTAATGACTGGGGAAGCTCTGTGCCAGGGTGGGTCATGCCTGAAGAAGGTAAAGAGGAGGAGAGAGGACAGGAGCCCCAGATTCTTGGAGAGGACGGTGATGAAACCTGCCTCAAATGATGTCCTGCTAAATAACAAAAATTCAACTGGTAAATTTGAAGATCAAATTGGCTTTGTTAACCCATTCATGAATTGAGCAGCATCCCATCTAGCAATAGAAAGGAGCTCCACCAAGCTGTAGAGAAGGAAAGGTTTTTAAAGGTGGAAGGGGGGTGGACAAAGGAAATTATTAGAAAAGAATGCATTGTTTCAGTCAAGGTTGCCTTCCTAAGGGGACTAGACAGTCTATCAGGTTGGTTATCTCATTAGTGCTGACCAGGTAATTCCATGTTGACTGGTTAAGGGTTACATTCCTGGGGGTGGGATGGGGTGGGTGTTGAAACTGCAATTAGGTTAGGTATGAAGTCTTGGTTTGTTGATGTGGGACTTGGCATAAGCAACTCCATTTGGGGCCTGCTGTCTCCATAACACCCTGAAAGATAAGCCAGAGTTCAAGCTCTTCAGTATATGGTATTCAATATGTTTTTCCCATGAGTAGTTTGCAGAAGAATGGGGAGGCAGAGGAAGGGACTAATGGGGGTGTCAGACAAAGGGTGGGGAGCAGCTATAGACCTGAATATTGGGGATCCTTCTTTCTTTCCAGCTGGCTCACGAACTTGTTTGAAGGTATTTGTTTTCACTCTTCATTGTTGAGATGGATGTAGAAGCCAGTCATAGAGGGAAATGAGCACTTTGTTGACAGGCAGCATGCTCAGTCCCCAGTATTTAGGGTCTGGGGTCAGGGAGTGTGTAGCTGACCTAGGTGAGGGGAGGATAGGGCAAGGACACAGGTGCTTAGTGGTGGCCCCCTTAGAGGCAGAGCTCTGATATCTACCACCAACTGCCTCACAATTAGATATTGGAAATGGTGAATTTACTTAGCTTATTCAGGTAAAAAAAAAAATTTGTTCTAAAGATTGCATTTATTTGAGAGAGAGTGCAAGTGCACGAGTAGAGGGAGGTGCAGAGGGAGAACCATACTCCCCGTTGAGCGGGGAGCCCGACTTAGGGCTCCATCTCAGGATGCTGGGATCATGACCTAAGCTGAAGGCAGACTAATCGACTGAGCCACCCAGGCTCCCCCACGTAAATAAAATTTTAAACAAAACAAAACAAAATGAAGTGGACAATGACCACCTTAAGTCATTTGTAAAAATTAACAAGAAGTGAGGAAAGTTTTGACCAAAAATTCTACCACCAAGGTAATGTTGGCACTCCTTCTCGATCAACAGCCATAACTTACTCAGCTTTCCTATACAGATCTTCCTTGACTTATGATGATAGGGCTATGTCCTGAAAATATTGTTAAGTTGAAAATGTATTTAACACACCTACTTAACCTACCAAACATCATAGCTTGGCCTAGCCTACCTTAAACACGCTCAGAACACGTAACATTAGCCTACAGTTGGGCCAAATCATCTAACACAAACCCTATTTTATAATCAGGTGTTGACTATCTCATGTAATTTATTGAATTGTGTACTGAAAGTAAACACAGAATGACTGCATGGGTACAGAATGGTTATAAGTATATCGGTTGTTAACCCCCCTGATCAGGGGGCTGATTGGGAGCTGTGGCTCACTGGGGCTGCCCAGCACCACGTGCAGCTGTGGGGGTGGGGAGTGGGGGAGCATAGATTAACATTCAAAATTGAAATAGGGTTTCTACTGAATGTGAATCCCTTGTGCACCACTGTAAAGTTGAAAAATCCTAAAATCCTAAATTGAAAAATCGTAAGGTGGGGATTATATGTACTAAAAAGTTGAGGGGAAAAAAAGGTGGACAGAAGAAATGAAGGACCAAGGAGGCCTTGGAGGGGAAAGTAAAGGTCAAAGCAATTTCCTGCGAAAATACAACAATTACTGAGGTTCAGCCTCTTAGTTTTCAAAGGTTTGCCCAGAGGGGACAAATTACAAGGGTAAATTCTCTGGGTATGATGCACATTTACCAAGCTGAATGTTTATAGTTGCTGCCTTTTGAAGTTTTTGTTGTTGTTGTTTTTCCATTTGAAGTTTTGATCCTCAATCCATTTGAAATTTGCCCAACACTATGCATGACCTCTTGTGTTTTTGTCTTGTACTGTTTTTCAACTCTTGAAATACTGAACTTTTTAATGTCTCTCTCCCCCCACGACTGTAAGCTCTTTGAGGTACATAGATATATCATGTCCCCAACCCCCATTCCTCACCAATAGGGTCACAAAGAGCTCAATCTACTGAATCTTTAACTCTTCCATTTTTTTGAATGCCCTTGGGTTATGTATTCTGTAATGGACACTCAACAGGTTTATAGTGAAAATCTAATGGCGGAGATCCCAGCCAGTGTAAACGCATTCTTTCTAAATCTGTATGTATTTTAACGACAAAAGATTGCTTAGATTCAGAGAGGGAAAAGCGTGCATTTCTTTTACAGTGTGTTATAAATATTAAGAAGGAGCAACTGAAAGTTCTCTGGATTTTATGCTGTATCACGGTGCAAAGCACTGGGTGATCTGGCCTCCGGGTTCCTCCCGCAAAGCTGAACACGACTCCCAGTAATATGCCCAAAAGCACCCCCCCTTCGATGTGCACTTTGAAGCCCCACTCTGAAGCCCCGATCCACCCCTCCCACCCCCTACGGACACCTGCAGTTGAGTGTTGTGGTCCTGTTTCAACGTCCACATTGCCATGCTATAAACCAAACGCAAACTCAGGGCTTCTCAGGTCAGGCCCACAATGAGGAGAGGAGCAGCAAGCACAGAAGCAACCTCAGGAAGCAGTCAAAGCCCCCTTTCCCAAAGTCCCCTTCCAAAGACAAGCGGAGGTAGCAAGAGCGTTGTACTTGGCAGAGCTGTAAGCCCCAGTGACGGGTGTATAAAGGGCTGGGGACATTCTGAGCTAGGTAGCGAGGTCACCAACTACGCAAGATGTAACAGTCTACCTCGTGGCCAGGGTGTAGTGTGCCAGGGAGTATGTGAGCGTGTGAAATTGGCTCTGGAACCTGTGGCCGCGGAGCCCGGCCTTGTGCGGCCTCCAGGGCGAGAAGTAGGTGGCTTTGTTCCCGGAATGTGAATGAGGGAGCCGAAGCCGGGCTTAAAGAAGGCAGCTTTCCGCGGCGGGAACTCGACGTCCCCGTAGAGGCTTTGGCAGCGCGCGAAACTCGCCATCAGGCTCCCCGGCCCGCGCCAGCCGCTGCGCTGGAAGCCCGAAGGGGGGACAGCCTGTCTGGTCGATGAACAGAGCCCGGAGAGGCCGTGGCGCAGGCCTGCCGCGTCCCCCCAGCCAGCGCGGGCGGCCCCACGCGTCCGCCACTCAGCCGCGCGGCCAGCACAACATTCCATTTAAAAATAACACCCACGTGCGCTGGTAAACAAGCGCGCGCGGCTACTGTGCCGCGCGCCCCAGGCGAGCCAGTACGGCGCGCGCCCGCCCTCCTCCCGCACGTGTCTGCCGGCTCCGCCCGCGCCGCTCCTGCGTTGCTCACTCTCCTCCCCCTCCGACGGCCGCGCACCGCCCCGAAGCCCCGAGTCCTGCCGCTCCAGGGCCCTAGCTTCCTCCCATGCTGCCAGGCGCGCCCCGCTGGGTGCTCTCCAACTTTCCTTCCCCGACACCGCCACAACGCGGCAGGACCCATCGCCCCAGGTCTGCTCCCCTTCTCCCCTCCCCTGTCTTCTTAAGCCCCCTCCTTTGAACTCTCCCTCAGCGTGCGAAGGACTGGCTTCTGGGTCGCCCTCTCTTTCTCCTCTCCTCCCTCCCCTCCTTTCTTCCTTAGAATTTTACTCGATTGTTTATTATTTGCCGGGGGGCGGGGGCGGGAGGCGGAGAGGGGTGTCTGGGGCCTGGAGACTGGTGGCCGCGGCCAGTCAGCACGCGGCGTGGTTTGACGAGTAGGCGGCGCAGCGAATGGGGACGCGGCGCAGAGCTCCCCGGTCACGCGCGTGTGGATACAATGACATCATCTGTTTGTACGCGTCGAACTAGCTTGGTGCAGGGGCGGGGCCGCACGTCACTTGAGTGACGGGCCCTGCGCAAAGCCCGGAGCCTGGAGTCCGCTGGGCGGGCGGACTCCTGAGTACCCTGGGTTGGACCTTTTTGTGTATTGGATTGTGAGGAGCTAGCTCTAGACTCTGAGCTATTTCCAGTGACTTAGGAGGATTTAAGAAAAAGGGGGAAAAGAAAGATACTTATGAACCAAAGTGAATAGGCTTTTGGTGTGCGTGTCGCATGTAGTGCATTCGTAGTGCACAAATGAACAATTTAGATGCTGATAGTAGGATAAGGACTTGTGAAGATGTTTTTCTAAACCTAAAGAAATACCTTTTTAAAAAACTAAAAAATGCACAAGTAGCCGTTCTGGAGTCATTTACAAGTTAGAATCAAATTATTTTCCATTCATAATTGTTCAAGATCTGCTCTTGCCTTTAGGAATGGGGAATAATTTGCATTTCTCCTGAGTTAGTTACACTTCTCCCCTCATTTGCCATGAAATCCATGAAAAGGGAAACACCACTGCCTCGGGCGTCCTAGGTAAGAGACTCGGCTGCAAACCTCTCGGTGCCTGATCAAATCTGAAGGCATCAGTTTATCGAAGTCCTGTAAGGCACCAGCATCTTTGCTTGTCAGTATTTCCACGCCGTGGTAATCCTTGGAATCTGCGGTCAGCATCTTATCTCGGGTGTTACCTGGTGTCCGATTCTAACAGGGAACCGGACACCAGGGCGGGCACAGAGCCTGGCGGACGAACGCGCCCGCCGGGGACCCCCGGTAGCAGGCGCCCTGCCCTGAGTCTGAGAGGCCACGCGACTGCGCTCGTGGAGCGTTTGGGGCTTTGCTCTCCCCCTCCCTCTTCTCCTAGGCCAGCGCCGCGCTTTGTTGTCGTTGAGGCTCTCGGAGGGAGGAGGAGCCCAGCGGGGACGTCTGCGGGAGCCCGCCTGGTCCCGGCCCGCGGCGCGCTCCCTGACACCCACGCCCGCAGGCCCGCGGAGCGCGGCCGCGCAGGCGCGCGTGCGCGAGCCCACATACACACACACACACACACGCACACACACGCACGCACACAGCACACCCGGGCCCGCCGCCCAGCCCTCCCTCTGGGCGGGGATCCGCCCGCCCGCCCGCCCGCCGTCAGCCTAGGTTGAGGCACCCTGCGTGTGTCTATAACTTTGTGCTGCTGCCGCGGCCGCCCTGCTCGTGGAAGGGAGGAGGAGGAATGTGGAAGGCGACGGCGCGCAGGCTGACAGGCGTTTCCTCAGGCGGGCTGCGGCGGTGGCCGGAGCGCCTCTCCTTCGCCGAGGTTGCGCGCCCCCTCCTCGCCGTGCCCCGGGCCCGCGCGGAATTGTGCTTCCTCCCCCCTCGTCCCTGAAGGGAAGGAACTGAGGTAGGCGCCGGAGCTGTGCAGCGGGGCGGTCGCCTTCCCGGTGACTCCGGATCTGCTTCCGAGCTGGGCCAGGCGCTTCCCTTTTCCCTCCCCGTGACTCGGTGTGCGCGCCCCCCTTCCCTCCCGCTAGTGTTTTTAAAGGACTTGAGTGAAGGGGGGAAAACTGTCAAGATGGCAGCAGCGGGAGCAAGGAGGTGATGAACGTGCTGGTCCGGGTTTTCTGGCAGTCCGGGAGACTTGGCGCTTCCTGACCTGTTGGAAGATTTATGTTCTGACTTGTCCCCTCCCCCCCCGTTCTTTACTGGGAAGGGGGTGGAGGATACAACGCCCGCGAGCAAATAAACCCCACAAAACCCCAAAGTGGTCGTTCCTGCTTGGCTCGACCCTTGGCAAACACCCGTCGAGCTGCTGCCCCGCTGCTTCCCGTCTTGTCCTTTTTTTGGAAGTGACAAGAGCCCGTCCGCGCTCGGACCCGCGTTCGTCCTCCTAGCCCGCGGGCGAAGAGGGAAGAAGGTGGCTGCCCGCGCCGTCCCCGGACTCGGGCCCCTCGGCGGGGAGAAGGGAGTACAAGGGGGCGCGGAGGCGGCAGGGCCGGGGACGAGAAGAGCGGAAGACGCCACAGACTTTGGCTGCGGCGCCGCGGGAAGCACTTGAGCGGGCCCGAGCGAAACATAAACAAACGCACGCCCGCTCGGGCTCCGACCGCGGCTCGGCTGCGCCAGCCCTGGCTGCTGCCCGCTTTAAAGGCGCGGCCCGCGCCCCTCCCCCCGCCCCCTCCCCTCCCCTCCCCTGTCCTCCCCTCCCCTCCCCTGTCCTCCCCTCCCCTCCCCCTTCTTCCCCGCCCAGCCACCTAGCCCAGGAGAGACCTGCAGATCTGGCGGCCCCGGCGGCGGGGGGAAGGGGGCTGCCCCGTGCGAGCCCGTCGATTCGCTCCTGGCTCCCGGGCGGCCTGGCCAGGGGGCGGTGTCTGCTGCGCCAGGTTCGCGGGACGCACGTCTCCAGGTCTGTTTCTGGGAGGCGGGCGCCGTGCGGCCGGGAAGCGGCGGCGGCGGGCGCGGAGTCGCCGAGGACTGGGCTCCAGCCCGGGATAACCCAACTCTCCTCTTTTCTCTCTTTCGTGCTTCTCCAGGCGGCGGCAGTAGCGGCAGCGGCTCCCCGGAGCCCGAGTCTTCGCGGCGCCCCCGTCCCTCCCCCGCCGCACCCCGCCCCGGCGCGAAAGGAGAGCGCGAGAGCCCGAGCCGCGGGCGGGCGGGCGGCGAAGATGGCAGAGGCACCGGCCTCCCCGGCCCCGCTCTCTCCGCTCGAAGTGGAGCTGGACCCGGAGTTCGAGCCCCAGAGCCGGCCGCGCTCCTGTACATGGCCCCTGCAGAGGCCAGAGCTCCAGGGGAGCCCGGCCAAGCCCTCGGGGGAGACGGCCGCCGATTCTATGATCCCCGAAGAGGAGGACGATGAAGACGACGAGGACGGCAGCAGTAGGGCGGTCTCGGCCATGGCGATCGGCGGCGGCGGGAGCCGCACGCTGGGCTCCGGGCTGCTCCTTGAAGACTCGGCCCGCCTGCTGGCTCCCGGAGGGCAGGACTCCGGGTCCGGGCCGGCCCCCGCGGCGGGCGCGCTGAACGGGGGGACGCAGACGCCGCTGCAGCCTCAGCAGCCACTGCCGGCGCCGCAGCCGGGGGCGGCTGGGGGCTCCGGGCAGCCGAGGAAATGCTCGTCGCGGCGGA